CAATGAATAAACCATTGTTTCCAGCGAAGACTGAAAATACCAACTTTGAAGTACGTATCTACAGCAATTTGTATGTTAAAAAAAATACAAAAAGAGTATTAACATAAGAAATAGTAATAAGGAAAAAAATATACATTACTCGAGTTGTCTTTACGTTCTTAACTTTAGTTGACGTGAATCTAACGTTTATAACGTCGTGAAAAAGCTTCTGACATGGTCTCTGTTACCTGGCAAGCATACAGGGGGTGGGTAGGATTCTCCTCCGTGAGCTGCACAGTGGGTCCCCAGAGGTCTACCCACCAAAACCCCTACGCCACCCCCTCTCATGGGAGATGAAACCCGGCAAGCTATGGCCGAGTCACCAGGACACTCAAGTATCGGACCATTGGTCCCCTCGCAGATGGAAAATTGGAGAGGCTCGGGTAAATCAAGTGCCTCTCCCAGACAGATGAAACCGTGCCATGCGGGGCGACTGCCAACCACCTCCGCTGGCCCCGACGGCAACGTGAACCTAATCTGATAAAAATATGCGTTCACTGTAAACTACTCGATGCTTAATTGCATCATCGGAAGGCTCTTTTCGCTTGTTCTCCTCCTCGCGTGATCGTATACCATACATCCATTATAAGCGGAACCCTATTTAATATGATTGGCCATATATAAATGAGGTCAACTTACTTTGGAGTTGTCAACATTTTGGAATATTATTTTTTTTATTTGTCATCATACAAATTATCATTTTATAGACAATATTAATTCGTAGCTCGGTAGCGCTACGGATAAGCGCCCCTGCGCACGATCGCTATTGCTAAGCAATTTTCGCAAGAGTTGTTCACGGGATGGGTGACCAAAAATTACTAAACAAAGGCCTGAGGCCCTGCAGTTTGGCTGTCAAAGAGTTAATGATGATTATCAATATATCAAAGACGACAATTTAATAAAACAGTTATTATTTCATAGCAATTTTGGCGAACACATCACTTCAAATTGACATAACTTTATTATTTGTGAACCGATTGAAATAAATCTTACACTAAATGTTAACGGAATAATATAATAGTGAAAACTGCATTTAAATCGGTTCAGTCGTATCTGAGATCATCGTGCACAAACGCACAGACAAACAGACAAAAAATTTAAAAATCATTGTTTTGTGTTCTATTACGCTTATAAATGTCCCTCATAACAGTTTTTTTCATATATCTTCAATGTACAGACATCGATCAGTTACGTTTTTATTATAGTATAGATATGGAACGTCCGAACAATGTCACATCTTTTGTGTGGCTGTATCCAGGACTTACCTATTAATGCCATTTTGTTCTTTATAAAGTTTGCGAGGACTCAAGAGGAGGAACGGGTAGGTACCTAAATGTTTTATTTTGTTGTGTACAACAGACCATTCCACTCAGTAATAAAGATTTTCAAATAAGTTCAACTACTTTTAGATAACATAGGTATCACATTTAGGACTTTCTTGTAAAATAAGTTGACGTAGTTCAAAATTGATCCATCCCACACAAAGTCACTTTTGAGATATAGACGATAGAAGTTAAAGCTGTATTTGCATGTTGATGTATCATTTTTGTGTATTATATTGAAATCTAATAGCATAGAAAACCACTCACATTATCATATTATAATGTCATTTTAACACAACTAATAATATTTATTAAAATGTAAATCCTTAAATTATATTATATCCTTATAAATATAGATCCTTTTTGATATACATATTTAGGTTTTAATTACCTTATTCTTATAAAACAAATCTCAAAAACGATCCAAATGAAGTAATAATACAGTAGAACCTCGATAACTCAAACCTCGGTAACTTAAAAACCTCTATAACTTCAAAAAATAATATGTTCCCTTCCCATCAGAGCCCAAAACCTCAATAACTTAAAATTCGCAACCTGCCCCCTGATTGTCTAATTTTAAATCTATTGCAATCGCTTTCAGTTTGAAAGGTGTTGCACAACCGCTGCTGCATAATACAAATACTTTTTTTTCAACTGTCTTCAGAAACAAGCAATGGTTATAGGTAAAACCTCTTTCAAACCGAAAGATTTTAAAGTTAGACAATTAGGCCTCTGGCCCTCAGTAAGTCAAAGAAATGCTTCCACAACCTCTATAACATAAAATTGTTTGTCAATGAGTCATTTTGAAAGAGTTCAAAACAAAAGGTTTCGATATTTATTGCTTGCATGTGTTCACTAGTTAAATTGTTACCGTAAAAATACATATGTCACCTATTGTTTCATCATCATCATCATCAGCCCATATTCGTCCACTGCTGGACATAGGCCTCCCCAATTGCACGCCATCTATTTCGATTTTCGGCTGTTCGCATCCAGCTCCTGCCAGCCATCTTGCGCAAATCATCACTCCACCGCGCCTATTGTTTGCTTCTTCGAAATTCTTTAAATCGATTTAGAAACTGATAATTGTTTAAAACAGAAAAAAATCACAGACTTTTATAAGTAGACTAAACCTTTAATTAATGTTTTATTTTTATTTAACGTGTGCAATGTGAATAAATAAATATGATTATTTAAATTTATGTATTTTATTGAACCAGTCTCTGATGCGTCAGACGCATTCGAGTAAAAATAGGAACAAGGGTACATACATACATATGTACATACCTACCTCTATATTAACCTATCCCTAACATAGACCCTTGATAACTTAAAACCTCTACAACTTAAAATATTTTGTGTTTCCCTTGGACTTTAACTTATCGAGGTTCTACTGTATAATAATTAACTAAAACGCTAAAATTTTATCGTAAAAACTATTTATTAAAGGTTCTTTGTATTTTTTTTTTTAATTTTTAATGTCAAATGTATTTTCACTATCTAAAATTATCTTCCTACACCTTTTTATAAAATAACCTTTTAACAAAAATGATTCAAGCGTTTTGAACCTTTATTGTGATTTTTAACCAAGATTAGTGCCTTTAATTTCTAATTTGCTATTTTACTATATGGATCCAAGAAGCTTGAGTCATTTTCATGGAACTAAAATATGAACCTACCAAGGATGTGGGCTGGTAACTACCATTGAAAAAAACGTCAAATATTTAAATATAAATATTTAATACAGCTCCAGAGCTTCTTTCCCATATGAAAGTATAGAGCCTGATGGACATTTTTGAATAACTACGTCCAGTACGTGCTGCATTAGATACTAAACAGTCGTTTAGATTATAAAAATTGTAAAATTATTTATTATACTGACGATTCCATCCCATCACTTAAGCCGATAGGTAAAATTCACTAACGCCATCTGTGGTGGAATAGCAGAAATACACCAAATAATATAGAACCGTATAGTGAAACCGTATAGTTAGTATAATTAAAAATTTGTTTGTTTTGAAGCCCCCTTCTCTCTAGTCAATAAAGTGCAATCAGTTATTGAAATTTGTTAGAATCTCACTAAATGTTCAATCAGTTATTGAAATTTGTGAGAATCTCAATCAATAACGTAAGGTTTAAATGCTTTTGTTATTTTTTCTACCCACCAACAGATGTCGCTATAAGGCATTATTATTATTATTATTATTATTATTATTATTATTATTATTATTATTATTATAATTTAGGATAAAATTTACTCTTCCCGACCCCTCGACAATTCGAGGGGGGGGGGGAGGATTCCCCCCGGCAGAGGAGGCCAGACGGCCGGGGGTCAGGGCGACAAAGAGAGAAAACGGCGGACGATCCTTGCGTTATCGAGCAAAATCGCCCGCTGGAGCCTCGCAATCATTGGTCCGTCACGGAGTCCCAACCTCTTCAGATGGTCGTGAAGAGAAGTTGGAACTAGGCCATTCGTTGACACTACGACTGGGATGATCTCAGTGGACGACACTCGCCACATATCGGTAACCTCGTGCGCCAGGTTCAGTTATTATTATTTAGTATAAAATTTACTCTTCCCGACCCCTCGACGATTATTATTAATTATTATATTATTATTAATATTGTAGGTATTTTTTGTATTTATATATTGTGTTATATGTTTTTGTAAGCAAATTGTATTTATTTGGAATTACCTACTTTAAGTTTGCACCCCCGTTTCGTCACAGACAACTTTTGGATAGAGACGAATGTTAACTGATTCGTCTCTATCCAAAAGTTGTCTGGTAGAAAGCACTTTAAGCGATGAGACCATTTAGTTTGATAAGTTTATGGAGATATCTGTTGCATTCCCCAATGTGTATAAAACTATAGACAAACCAAAACAAAAAATGTATTTTATATTAAAAATTATTGAAAAAAAACAGTGATTTATCCAAAATATTTATGAATTCATCGACGCATTATTACTTCCAATATACAATAAACACTCAATGGTTTTCCCAAAATAAATGGCGATGACCATATTTATCTTCGGAAAGAAGGAAACTCCTTATTCGTCTTTATGTATTTCTTGATATATGATCCAATACTAAATTTTTCGTCGATTGTAGTTAATTAAAAACCAGTTTTTTTTATGAATTCGGCAATTTTTTAAAATTTACTTAAGACTGCAGCGGTGCGGTATTTTAAGTAAAAAAAGCTTTATCAGCACATCACCACACAAACCAATCCAAAAAATATATTATCTAGAGCATGGTTGCACATACTTATTAAGACTAGGGGCCACTCGAGCAAATCATGAACTGATGGCGGGCCGGCCGCCAGAAGTATAGGTAATAAAAGATAATAAAGAATTGATAATAATTTATTAAAATTGAAAAATAATTTATTAATTTGAAGCGTGGCACTGCATAGTGCTTACAATCTTTTTTATATTTGGCTCAAATTTACTTGTAGCAACACGTAAAACTGCTTCCAAACTTTCATTTGCAAGGTGGTTTCGATTTTTAGTTTTATTATTATTTAGTATTGAAAAACTTTGTTGACATATATACGTAGAAGCAAATAAGCTGGCACATTTCGGAGCGCTTATGCACAACTTTTCGTACATATTTTTATCAATGCAGGAGTAACAGTTCAGCGAGTCTCCTTCGTTGAATTTGTTGCGTATATCTTGGTCGTTTGAATGTCGATAATTTCTAGCTGCATTGACTCTGGCGCATTTTCAACCGAAATCGTAAAAGGATTGCTTAATATGTCCAACAGAGGTTTCACTTTTTTAAACTCCGAAAATCTGTCTTGAAAAGATTGAATCAAAATATCTAGCTTTTCTACATAACTGACATTAATCGCAGTTTTGTTGAATTTTTCAGCCATTTTCTTATAATTCGGAAAATGATTGTAATTTTCAGAATTAAATTGTGATCTGAATAATGTCAGATTGCATTGAAAGGATGATACATGAGCGTAGAGCTGGGATATCAGTTGATTTTTGCCTTGAAGTCGTGTATTCAAGACATTCAAATGATTTGTAATGTCAACTAAAAAAGCCTTTGTTTTTCCGCCAGAAATATTTCCATTTCTTCTATTAAATTTAGAAATCATTACAATGTCAATCAACGACTCAGCCATCTTACTTCTGTTTAATACAGTAAATCTCCGTATTCGCTTTGGATGTCATCAAGGAACTGTTTGAATTGTCTGTGATTGAGTCCTCGAAATTTTATGAATACTCTACTTATACTACTCTGTTCTTCGGAAGGCACGTTAAGCCGTTGGTCCCGGCAACATTTTGTAGTCGTTAATACCCTCTAATCCACATTGGGCCAGCGAGGACGATTATTGACCGTCCTTCTTAACCATCCGTAAGGAAGGCCTGAGGCCCCTGCAGTGGGGACGTAACAGGGATATAATTTTCTCGGCGCCCCCGTAGCAATCATTTAGCAATATACCTAGTCTAGCCATAAGTTCTGTTACAAAGAAAATATCCCATAATTAGTAAAAAAATAATTTTATTTTAAAGTTTTATATGTGATTATGTAGAATAAAAAGATATGTTAACGTACTAAACTAGTTATTCAAAGTGCCCACCCTTAGTTTTAACGCACGCTTTTAAACAGTCGGACCATTCGTCGATGGATTTACGAACGATTTCCATTGGAAACTTGGTCACTGCTGCCTCAAAAGATCGGCCTTTATGAAGTCTGGAACATTTTGCTCAAGCCAAATTTGGGTAGTACGCGCCTTATGACCCGGGGCTGAATCCTGTTGGAATGTCCACACTTCGTTTTTGAACAAGGTGTTGTTGATAGGTTTAACTACCACTTCTAACTCAGTATCTTGATACACTACGGCTGAAGGTTTCACTCCCTTTTCGCAAAAATGGAGTTTGTAACCCATTGGTAGGAGACGCTCCACCAAACCATGACGTATGCTGGATGATGGCCTTGCAGAACTTTGGCTACCTACCTCGGAAGCTTCTTTAGAGCTGTGTGAATACACTCAATCATTTTGTTTGTTGTAGTGCTCCTCGATTGCAATTTTTTTCATCCATGTAACGAAGTAACAGTTGTTTTGACCTTTCGACTCTCTTTTGTTTTAGCGCCTGATTTAAGGTATGTCCTGTGTATCTCTGGTAAGTCCCTAGAACTAAATCTCGTTTGATAATCCCAGAAAGTGTCCTCGGGGGGAATCTCATTTACCTCTGTAAAGGACTTTCTGCTTCCTTGTGGGATTTCAACGAATTCTGGCCTTCACTGCATTAACGACCTGGTTTGTTCGAATAGACCGCAGTTGGCCGGATTTCTCACGGTTATCAACAGACATGGTTTCAGTGTACCTTTGGATGATACGATACAGAAACAATCGGCTAATACCTAGCTTTTTCATTGTATCAAAAATGTCCGCTGGCTCCTTACCTACTTTGTATAGTGCAATTACTAGAATCCTATTTTCTTTAGTGTCCCACTTAATTGTTCAAAACAAAAATTTCTAAACAAAATTGAATTTCTGAACATAAGCGGGAAATAAGTCTATTTTGTATCGTAGAAGCTAATCTTCGAAATTCAAATTAATGTTTTTTTTTAATGTATGTAAACAGCCAGTAACAGTATTTATGGCTTAACTAGGTACATTAGATTTTCGCAAAACCAATGCAGCCGTAATGCAAAGGACAGCATCCTTAGTCACTGAACTTCAAAAAAGTCTACATTACATTATTGAGTATTTATTTTGAATCAATTATGTTTTTTTAGCAATGTTCTGCCTGATAAGACTTTTTATTTCTTATCAAAAACAATATGGAGGTTTAGAAACAGTTTTGTTTTTGCATATTCACTACACGACTAACAGTGTCATGATTGTATTTTTTTTTAAGTCACACAGTAATTTCTGCAGTATAACAAAATGGTGACATTTAATTGTACCCGTGTGATATAGAATAAACAACGTAATAGAATTACGCTCTAACTAATATCTAGATATTAATAAATAATAAATTAAAGAATTCGTAGAAAACTAATAAAAACGCCAATTTAGAATTCACATTTATTTATTTAATATAATTATCACAAATTAATTTACCAATAAAAACTTACCACAATATGTACAAATTTGGATAGTCTAATAATAATTAAAAATAATTCGTTTGATAACTATGCTCGAATGTATAGATTCTAACAACTTTTTTTGCAAGGGGCATAAACAGCGATATTATTAAAGTGATTGGTAATAAATAATTATGATATACCGTCATAATATATGACAAGACATAATGGCTTTATTAATTTTGCGTATTAGATAGGTAAGAAAGAACAAGAAAACTAGTGAATAGTTCCTAGATATTTTATCATTTGCATCTATTTTTATTAGTAATGAAAAAAAAAACTTTTACACGCAGTCAGCGTCTCTTACAGTCGATTAAAACCACCACTTAAAAATTTTCAATAAATATAACTAACTTGTATATTCAACAACTTACACTAATTGAGCTTATTTGTTTCATTCGTGATTGTTAATTAAGCAAATATGTATTTACTTTCTCTTTTAGAATATAAAATTTTAGATATTATAAAGAATCTGCTAAATGAAAAATTGACATTTATATTGAACTGGATAATGAAAACATAATAAATAATGAAACTGGAATCCATCTAATTCATATACACCACAAAATTGCCATCGATGGCGTCTCTTAAAACTTAAACAAATAAAAATGAAATTGGCAAGATAAAGTAAAAACTAGATGTACCTACTTGAAATCGATCAAAAATCATTGTTTTTTTTTATCATAATGTAGTGAGAGATGGCAACGATTTTGTACTTTGTATGTTATATATTGTGAAATTCTAACAGAGTTCTAATATTTCAAAATGAATATTACGCAAGATGTATTATGTGTAAGTATTTAAGTTTTGTTTGTATGTGTTTTGACAGTCTTGTAAATTTCTTACTCAAACGATATTATAAAACATTCGTCATTAATAAAAAACAACATTATTTCCAAAATATCAATCGCCAAGGTCAACTAAAGTCTTTGAAAACATTATAAAAACGTATAAAAATAAAAATTAGCAACCCTTTAGCAGACTGGTACAAATGACATTTTGCAGTACAGTAGAAGTTCCTTATTCACGGCTTCATTATTCGCGGGTGTAAAATTTCTAACCGAATTTCTGTACTCGCGGCTAAAATCTGCGTACTAGTGGATGCAATCAGTAACTTAAAGGAATTCAGCATCGTTTATTAACGCATCGACATCTTTTAAATACTTCGGGCATATGTCAGGGTGACTTTTACAACGCCTTATAATTTTTGCTTCGTTATAGCATTCTTAAATACTTTAAAAAAGCTACATTATAAAAGCTACAGTTACTTATTTATGAATCTGAAATTAAAGATCTTAAAAAACTGGAAGACAAGATAATGAATAACAATTTTTAAATAATTAAAGCTGACAATAAAGATTGATTTTAATTAGTACTTCTTCAATAATTTTACCTCAAATGTATTTATTTTGCCATACATATTACTTTTATTTAAGAACGTATCCCTATTATTCTATACTAAAAGCCATCCGGTATTAGCGTTTTCTATATTCGCGGCATATTTAAGGAACGTATCCTCCGCGAATAAGGAGCTTCTACTGTACTTTTTTAAGGTTTCCCCAATAAAATCTGGTTCCGTGAAGAGTCAGAATTGGTTCAGTTGGAAAATGTCACTTGGACCGGTCTAAGGTCCAATCATTGTTATTATATTACCTAATGAGCTAGCAGTTCGTTTATTATATTTGACAATCCCTAGCCTTTTCCAGTCTATATTATTGCTTGTGACTGACGATTACATATTCAAGGGGTACAAAGCTGCCTTGATTTCTATGTAATCGTAGAATGCTGCCTTGGTGTCCATGCAAGGATAAATTCCTCTAATGAAGTCTTTCTGATGCTTCAGGCCTTTTCTTTAGATTTCTTTTACTTCTGGATTTTATGAATTGTTCGTTCCTTAATTTAGGAACTGTTTTTTAGTTTTGGCCCTTACATTTGTCATTATAGTTCAGAATCCAGCTTAAACTGTTAATTATTGAGATGCTACCGCTCCAGCCATCCTCTGCCGGACGTCACCCAAACCTGACCCGTTGCTGAAGCCGTTTAGAAGTGGCAATTTCATTTCCTTCGATTCTGATTTCACAGCATTCATTCTTTCTATGTTCAATTTCATCTGTTTTTTCTGTAAAGAACATACTTTGTTTGAGAATACGAAGAAACTAATGTTAACGATGGAATGCGTCTCCAAAGAAACGTCAGTAGTTGTATATTTTAAAATATTCAAACACATGTACGATCACAAACACACTTATCACACATTTAAGAATATGTTTACGTTATAATAATGATAATGACTACACTCTACAGTGACAATTTAAGTGACTTATATTTTAATTTACTTTAAAAAGCAAAATAAAAAATAGACATTATTTTTTATGAGTACCTTGGTCTTCTTAATATAAGCTTGTTTGTAGAAGTCTGAGAATAGGTAATAGAAGAGAACAGCGTGCATGCCGATCCACCAGACGAAAGCACGTGGGTAGTCGCAATCGATGAACAATAGTTGGAACGCATGCGCAAATACTAACACAAACTGGACCTGTAATTAAACAATTTACTTTAAACAAGATCGTATAGCACGGCAGATATTAGATAAACGTATACTCATATAAAAACACAATAGCTATTTATACATACAAGCTGTTCCTCACATAATAAGTGGGTATTTTCATAAGAGTGAAGTTTTGTCCAGCAGTGGACATTTTACGGCTGATATGATAATAATGGCGAGATTAAAACGTTGTAGTACATTATAACAAGCCTAAACTGACCATCTGCAGAGCTGTGAGGTACTTCTTCCACCACAGATACTTCTGAACCTTGGGGCCCATCGCTGCTAGCAAGTAGTAAGAGTACATGACGATATGAACAAAAGTGTTCAGCATACCGAAGAACGTGGAGTGGCCACCTGATAACAAAAGAGCAATATTTAGTAATCATTGCGTAGACCAGGTGTAAAGAGTTTGATAAAAAAGAGATTAGGTATAAAAAAAATGAAATCAGTGTTACGTAATTTATGGCCGCTAAGAAAACTTGAACTATTCAGTGCGAAATATGTATTTGCATATGTAGTGTACAGTCAATATACAAATAGCACATCAGCTTATATTTATACAACACTATCTCTGCACTATTACAAACCTTAATGTGTTGAAGTTAGCGTTAATATCTTATCAAATTTGAATTTTGAAAATCCATTGCGTCTTTAAGTACACTCGTACCTACCTAACATTTCAATTCTGAATTTAAATATGTCACATTTCAAATTCTACCTAAGTTAGTGTTAAAATTTTGTTAAGTATATATATTAAAATGGTCTTTTTACAATTGGGAACGTGTACAAAGCTGACATAATTAATTTGAAAAGGATTTGATATTTAGAATCCATCTCTCTCGAAGACGAGCATGATGGAAATATTGAATGTTCTAACACATAAGTAATCTGAAAATGAAATAACACCGATACCGGTAAAATCTTAACTGACAATTTATTATAAAAATGATTTAAATACACCATTCGATAGAAAAAAAAACTATTTTACTATCTTTATTCGATACTAGGTGTTTTTATTCGATTTTTCCGTGTATATGTACCCCGCGTCTAAGCTTCTATTAGCTAAAAGAATTTTCTAAATCCGTTCAGAAGTTTCGGAGCCTATTTGGTGCTAACACACAATCAAATCTTTTAGAAAATTATAAAGAGGAAATGATTAGTTAAGATTGCAGATTGCAGCTCGAGTGAAGTATTTTTTATTTGATATCTAAAGACGCAATTCTACCACAAAAAAGTATCTCTTAAAAAAATATTCAGATCTTAATATCCTAGTATAATACTGGATTTTGTCAATCTCATTCGTAATTTAACAATTCTTTTTTTTTTCATTTTAACCACATATTTGTGTGACAACCATATAGCAATGACGATGTAACGCATTAAATCAGTGTTAATATACAGCACATATACAAAGTATATAAACGATTAGCAAACAAATAAATTACAAAAGAAAAATTTGGACTTTGAACCACTTTATTGATCTTTGCGCTTAACTTTGGTTGCTGCAAAATATTTGTTTTTTTTTCGGACACGGTAAATTTAAGGTCTATTTGGATGAAAAACGTTTTATATAAATATCCAAACTTTTGCTTGCATTCTATTTTATACAAGATTCTATTCTGTGTATGTATACCAGTATATACACTTTACATGTAATTTTATTTCTTAATCTGAGGCAATGGAGGCCAACTAAAGGAATTTTTACGCTGAAATTGTTTCTTTCGATTTGATTTTATTAGGATTCTGGCAATATGGCTCGTACTGGCATGCGTTTCATATGTTTTCATGCAAGTAATTCTACATTTACTAGACTAACTGTTTTCCCGCTTCTTCACCGGCGTTAATAATAGCCTGTGTCAACCGTGTACGATGTAGCTTACGGTAGGTAAAATAAACGCCTAAGTAATATATCTGTAATATATAGACGAGTTATGAAACTAAGAACTATGTTATTCCCCATGACATAAAAGGTGTCAATTAGGCAAACTAATACCCGAAGCTCCACACGCGCTATTCTAGATATATTACATGGTGCTGTTAATAAATGTATTATGACCTTTGTTATTTAATAACAACTTAATAAAATTACTTTAACTTTCAATAATTTTTAAGTTTAACCAAAGTAATTATGTTTGCGGTAACATTACAAAAGAATTTTAATTATATAACGTAACTAGACTCGTTTAAATAATATATGTAATTAATTATTGGACTATACTTTGTTCCATAACGGTAAAACTATAGGTGAGGAACTATATTAACTATGTGTATTCTAGAAATAAGGAAGTATTAGTTAGAAAAGGATTAGGAAATATTGAAAAAAAAACATCGAATATCTAATTAGAAAAGAAACGAATATTAATAATTAAAAAAAAAAGCTAGCTGATTCTTTTCATTTTTAGTTTACTGTAAATTAATACCAATATTTAAAAAATGGTTATGTAAGTCATGCTTATGTCTTAATATATCCGAGTAAAATATATAATATCATAAATTGAAATTCGAAGCAATTTCAGAATAAATTAGCTGTGACAGGACAGACGAACGGATATACATTCGTGCGAGTGATCTTACAGGTAGAAAACAAATAAGAATCATCCCGAAATCAAAAGAAATAATTTCAAATTTTTTACTTGGACTGAATGAATGAAAAATTCTTTATTGTACACCAATGGACAAAAACAAACATATGGATACAATAAATGTGAATGCACAATTGGCGGCCTTATTACTAAAAAGCAAGTGACAAGCACAGTGACTTTCTGTAACAACATCGGTGTCGTATATCAATAGATTAGATTAGAGTAGCTTCTGGTGCATCAAACTTTATCATGATATATCTCAACATATATTTAATGAATAAATGAAGGACCTAGATATATGTACGCACTGAATCGTCAAAATTTTTATGTCACCTATCATTCATTATCGAGATGTAAAAAAATAGTTTCATCGGTCTTCTTCTATTTTATTAGATATGCAAACACCTTATAAGGGTTACATTGTTTTCTTTAGCGACAAACTTTAAAAATACTAAGATTAAGCCACCTATATGCTTAAACTTAAACAAGTGCAAGAACGTCACGACATGACTCACCAAATGAATACTGACCGAATCCGATCGATCAAAACAATTACATAAAACGTTGAGAACATTCGCAATAAGCCAATAATATTAGAAAACATAATAAGGATTCATAAAAAGAGTACGTACACATAATTTACATGTTTAAGCTAATATATTATAAATATTAAAATATTGAATTGCTTAAAATCGGATGGAGAAATGTGGAAGCAATGAATCTGGATAAAATTAAAAAACTTCTTTTCCCTTCAAAGCCTTTTCATAAGAACATAGTACAGTGATTATATTCAATCGTATTGCAAAACAAATCTTGCGTATAAGATTTTTTTAAATACTTAATACTATTTAAATACAAAACAACAATCTTTGATTCGCGACTCTTTGTCACTTGAATATGGTAAGCAACTTAACTGTTATAAAATCACATTTAATTAATAATGTACATTAAAATTATACATTAATGTTGCAGTATGTCATATATGCAAATATTATCATGAAGAAACATTTATTTTGCATCAATTTTAAAATTAAATAAAAGAAATCACCTAAAGAAGTCAAATCGCGAGAAAGAGCTAGTTTATACACTTGTGTAAACAGGTCATTCATCAATAAAAAATATACTAATATCAATATTTGTTAATTTTAAATGTTGGTAACATAAACATTGAGAGTTTAATGTCGATAAACGTTTTGTCTAGACAACAGAATATGTATGAATAATTAACATAAACATACATTAAATACGCGTTGGCGGAGGCCACGACATAATACAAAATAGGAAATAATTCTCATTTCCGCCTACTGAACTTGTATCGGTCACTCCAAATATAACATGGAAGTTGAATAATAAACAATTTTAATAGCTTCTGGCAATTTTGCTATAATTTTATTAGAAACTCATATATAAAATCATATATTTAGTATGGGAGTTATATTAGCCCGATGCAATCTATTTTTATTTTCCAAAAGAAGTAACTAAAGACTAGAAAGGATGTCTTAACTAATAACCAATGACGTTCCACATATTTGACAATTAAGCATATTAAATTGGTGGATTCGCAGTGTCAGTCAATTATACATTAAGTTAATATTCCCATATTATATAAAACATGTTATATTAAGTTATAATGTAGTCAATTTGAGGATTAAAATGTACCTTAAGGCCCTCTTGTACCTTCGTTTACGTTCCTATACAAATACGTATCGAGCTCGCTCGATTTCATATATTTTTTATCAAATAAAAAAAGGAATGCACTTATAAAAAAAAAATGTTATAATATAATATATCATATATAATTTTTGCATCTATTTTTTATATAGTTAAGATGAAATATAGTATATTTTGATTATTTTAGCATTCACAATGCCATACTGAAAATTATTCTTAATACAAAATGCTTAAAAAATCCACTTGGTCCCAAAATCGATTCAAAAAACCTGTTTAGAGTCATATTTAAGGTCTTTTTCTATCGAGCCAATTATTGAAATTTATGTGTCCGTTTTTAGCAAGCAATCGAACATGGGTTAAAAAATCTTTTATGAAAAAAAATCTTTTATAAAAAAGATTTTTATTTGGCAAATACAATCTCGTCTTAACCACAAAATTATAATCGGAACTCTCATGAGATCAATCACATTCTGTCTGCCACAGCTAATTATGTCGAATGTTCCAATTTAATTCGCTTGGCAATTACTTACTAATGTGTACTAAGTTTCAATTCAATCGTTACTCTCAACAGTGGAATGTGTGAATACAATTTAAAGCATATATAGTAATTGGAACTAGTAAATCTATTGAGCATTTTTTTTTCTATCAAATAAATATGAAGCTTTCTGACTATAGAAATCAAGTGGAATAAAATTCTTAATCGAAATTTAATATCTATTTAAATAGAACCTTATGGCTTAACCGGTTTTATTTTTGTGTGTTTACGGGGCTATTTGTTCGTCTCCGTATTAAGGACACACGCGTCTGAGCACGTGGTCACGCAGACCTCGTGTTGTGCCATGCGATTAAATAATCCTTGATAAATCACGTTCTCTTATTACTCTTATTACATTATCAGATTGTCCAAGCAAAAATTTAGTGTGGTGATAAACCCTTTAAAAAAAAGACACGCTTCATCGTTTTAGTTTTAATTAGATTAGATTTATTGGAAATACAAGAAAAATTATTTATTCTCAACCGGCGATGGAATTTAGCTGAAACATAAATTAATTTGTAAAGAATAGCAGGGTTACGTTCAGTGCTTCTCAAAGTTTGTATTTAAAACAATGATTAAATAATTAAGAAAGGAGTAGTTTTTATTTTCAACAGTTATCATCTTTAATATATTTCTAATTATTATCATACAAAACAATGAAGGTGATAATTATAAGACAAACATTGTTCCATATTTCGTCAGTAGTCGCCGATTCATATGGTATAATTGGAGGTTATATTCTGGTACACACAGCAGCACATCTAACTACCGAAATATGTTAGAGCGTCACAGTTGGTTGTGAATGCATTAGATTTTAAATCAAATGGATAAATTTGTCAGTTTTGCATAACATGGTATGCTATTAATCGTACAAAATTATTTCAAAAATAGTCATTTTCAGTGTACCTACGCGCCCCCCTAAAATATCCATTATCACTGCAGCGTACATTTTTATTTTATATATTACTTTTTAAGTTTATTTGATAACATAACGATTGTAATATACTATTAAACACATAATTAATATGCTCATATTTGTATCACTGACCTGGTGTGAATTTGACTCCAAACCAGACGGACATCGGCATGATGCCATGGTGGATCACGTGGAGTTTCGACACATGATCGAACTTCTTACGCATAACGAAAAAGATCTGAAAGAGAAATAGTTTTCATTAAATCTCTCTTTCTCTCCCTTAGATCATTGTGGATTGCAAGTCTAAAACGGAGTATCTCTGTGTATCAGACCATTTAATTGGTAAATTTGCACATAATCAGAAATCGAAGTTGTTCTATTTGATATTTAAATTAGCTATAAGGATCGCCACTACGTAACTTTTATTTTTAACAACTATACAAATTCATTAGTTTACATAATCTAACCTTTTTTGCTCGAGCAAATTATTCTCATCATTGTCTTCTATAATAACATAAAAAAAATGTTTTCGTTATTCTTGTATCGTATAGGAACTACACTCATACAGCTAATTATAGAGTAAAAAAATTCCGAAATTGTTTTTCTTATATCAGTAACAATTCTCTACGGTTTGTTTATATTGACGTCAACAAATCAATGTAATACTAGATATGATGTTTTCTCTTTAAAAAAAATAGCTATCAGAATTTACAATTCCATTAAGAAGCCATTAATATTATTTTATAGACTAATCCTTAGACACTGACCTTTGTCAAAACTTCAAAACATTTTAAATTTTATTTTGCTGAGAATAAAGTTCAAATCGACGAACGAAAAGATTTCACATTTTGTACTCAAGAAGTGTATATAAAAATAAAATTCATGAACCAAAGAATTCCATTAAAAGTTATTTCGAATACGTGTAAACAAACTATACAAATCAATTGCTTCTATTAACGTATATCATTCTTATATTTTAAGTATACATTGATTGGCATTAATTGCCTTTTGTTTTATATCTAGATAGACCGAGAATCTTTTAAGAGACGCTCCAATTAGTAACATCATTAGAATGTGTTACAAACACAGCTATTAGTGGTAGGGACATTACACTTAATAAGGTAAGGTTGAGTTATGCAAATAGATGTATTTACACGACCATGACAGACGCGGAAATATAATTACAATAATATCTATAAAATATTGATACTGTAAATGCAAAAGTATTGTTTTTTTTTTCTTATGATTGTTAATTATTGCGAATTAATATATTTAGATTAAATTTAAAACACAAGTAAAATAAATTCATTTTAAATAAACACGCAATCTAGACATAGTTTTACATATTTATTTAATGCGATAAAGATACTAAATAATAAAAACCATATGTTAATCGCTAAATACGTTGATGAAAAATTATCAAAATAAGACCAGCACTTTCTGAATTTCTTTATTACAAACGCAAAAAATACAAATCTGCCAGTCACATTTGACATTATAATTTTTAAACATATACGTAAATCTCCTTTTTTAAGTAACGAAAATCGTACGAGTTTATTTTAGCAAAAGCGGTAGGCGTACCGATTGTTAAATAAGATGTTAGATTTTTTTACTTCACTACGCAAAAGACCAGTCAAATGTACTCGTAGAAATAGTTGATCTCATACTTACAGTGTCGAAAAACTCCGTAAACTTCGAGAAGTAATACCACCAACATCCTTTGGCCATCTACAAAGAGCGTAAAAACATATAAAAAATCAATTGCAAGCTAATGAAGTCGATCTGCTAGGTTCAAAAGCCTCTTTTGTAAGAATCAAGATTTAATCGATTATTAATCTAGAGGGGGCTTAAACATAAAAGACTATCCTTGTCTATCTCACTCCCGGCAATGAGATAGATAAGGAAATAGTATTGCGAAAAGGTCGAATTATTAAAAATTAATGTGTCGGAACTCGCTCGAAGGCGTACCACCCAATTCACGGATTGACCGATGTTTCTAGAATCTATATGAGCGAGTTTCGTTAGAATCTATCCGGTTTCATTCTTCAAATAATGAGACGCGTAAAATATTTACTTTACTCTTGATGCGTGTTAACATCTGGTTTGTACTAGTACTATTTTTACAATCTAAAAAAAAAACAGGAAGGAACTGGTAAATATAATGCTTATAATTTGCTTCTCAGAAAATAGATATTTTATAATATATAACCTACACGCACTGGGCATGCAACTATTCGTTTCCATTCGATTTCATCCATTGGGAAGGCCTGTGTCCTGTGTGGGAATTAATCCGCTTATGATTATATATGATTATCCCAAGTGAAATAATATAGTATGTGAACTATCTGTGTTTCAATTGTAACATGAAAACTATTTAAATTAAATTACGATGCCACTTTTTGAAGCTCAAAATTGTAACTATATCTATAAGTATGTGTATTAATTTATGATTGCAATAATTTAAATTTGATTTGCATTGAAATAAAAATATTAATGCGTACATAACTCTTATTATTATTATCATAACACGATAAAAACATTAAGAGATACTTTACTGTCATCGAGCAACTCAATGTTTGCTAAAATGGCTTAAGTATAATAGTGTAAACACTTAAGTGACACGATATTTGTGGATAATACCTGTAAGTTAGTTTGTACAGTGAGTAAAGTTGTAAGATAACTAAAAAATAACTACGTATAAAATTTCAGTTACATAGAACTGTTCGTAATATTTTCTAAAGAATAGACTAGAACGTTAACTGTTTGTATAATTATCCTCACAAAGTTTGATAAGTGGCAAAAAACTAAAGGAATTTCGATTATAACTTGACTTTGAATCACATAAGAGTATGTGACTGACTCCATATTAAATTTCCACAGCTATTATTGTCTAATTGCCGTTTCGGTGCAAATTATTTTTATTGATAATAATGACAAGTCAAAAATCTTAGAAATATAAATTTATCAATGGAGAAAATCTCGTTAAATGAGTTAAAGTCTGTTAACTTATTGTAAACGGCATATAGTCTCGTTTGTGCAACAGAATTAACACTAATATTTAAATATTTTTGTTTTGTACAGACAGTTTCATTATTGTTTTGTAATAAGTACTCACCCTCATCGCTAGAGGCGACCTTGAGTAGTCAACGGGCTGACACCTGAAGCTGTATGATGTAAACCATCCACTGACTATGCTCTATAACAAAGATTTATATTACAGACATGTAAACAACTTTTCTATTCTCTAATAAAATGAGTGTTGAATGCAAAGTCGAAATCAGAGCCTTCGCACCAGAGATTCACCGAAATAAAACCTTTATTACTTTTTGAAATAGGTCTTCGGTTTCAACGTTGAGTTCGATGCCCACTTTTTCGCAAAATAGCAATTATGAACAAATATAAACAAAGTCTAATTTAATACGGATTAATTATACATTACAAACCCAAATTTTATTCATAAGTTTTTAAGAACCATAAGATTTTTTATTAATTTGTAAACGAAAGTGTCAAACGTATGATGGTGTGTGTATTTTTTTCCTTTATAATATAATATATTAAGTATTACTAAAATTTATATATATATATTAACAATTTGCACTTCTTCTCCTTATAAGACGAGGTCGTCAATTTTTATAATAGATACTAACGTTTGAAATCTCGATTAGTCAAGCACAGAAATATAATAGACTCTGATATCAGTAACACCGAGACCAGTTAAATATTATAGCTAATATAAAAATATTATATTTGCGCGACAGCATATAATACGCGCGTACACACAGAGTTTGTCAGTGAACTTTGCCTCAAACAGAGTTTGTCAGTGAACTTTGCCTCAAAAGATGTATGTTAAATTACAATGTACGTTAATTATGTATTACTTCATAAAATTAACACATTCTTTTGTATTATGGAAATTAAATAAAGATAAACGTCAAGACAAATCGATGTTATGCGATTTTATACAACATTGTTGAGTATAGCATTATAAATAGTAAAATTGACGACTTCAATTATCATATGAAGAATATCCGGGGGGCCAATTCTACTAAATAATTAAAATTATTTAGTAGAATTAGCCGCCAGGGAATGTAAGAAAACGTATTGTTAGCGGAAATTGTTAAAGCACAAATAGCGACTAAAAGACTTCAACGCGAGCAAGCAATCATCAATTACCTAAATTATGTAACACTTATTCTTTAACGATAAGTTTTTACGATTAAAATTCAATATAATTAATCAATAAACACATCATCATAACTAAAATTCAAATATCAAGAAGAGAAAAGAATAATGCGATTGCTCACCTCATAAAATAACCAACAGCTGAATATTACTTGGAATAAATTGTAATAAATCAACACATTTTTCAATTCAAATGGTTTCCTATTCTCCATAAGTTTTGGTCCCAGCACCTGCAAACAAAACATTTGCACTATTTCAATTTATAATTTTAAAAAACACATAAAACGCCTATCAAAACCAGTCAAACAACGATTTAAATAAAAAATAACGTATTAATCACACTTATTCTATTATTATAACAGCCAAAACAGTTTCTGCACAACAAAATCAGGAAATTTTCCGTCGGAAATATTATCTGCAATTAAAGTATCGGCCGTCATTAAAATGGATTTCAATGACGCAAACGCAATAATATAATTAAAAATATAACAATTACTTACTTTGACGATGAATACGTATGTGAGGCAGATCGCTAGAGTTGGTAACGGTGATGACATTAAAAACCAGTCATTCACTCTCGGATCACTCTTATTATCCATGAGGTCATGATATCCCGCTGCTAGTCTCCTAAGCACCTCCATTTTCACTAAAATAATAAATATCAATATGTAAATTTTCCAGCAAAAATGCAAAGAAGCATGTATGATTTGCATTTGCATAATGCGAGTGAATTACAAAGAAATAACTTAGTTAATATACAAGCTGTCCATTAAACACTGAATGTCAAGGTGGACAGGTTATAATTCGTCACGGACTTACGCTATATAGATCAAAATATTTAGACAATGGAAGAGTAAAGAGAATTTGTATTTTAAGGCGAGAGCCTCTGTGGTCGAGTGACTTAGGTGCCTGTTTCATGGTGTCACCAAATCTAAGGTATAAAGTTCACTTTCCAGTTGGGTTCAATCTAAAAATTGCACATTTTCTGTGTTGTCGGATATGGGTGGTTTGTTTTTATCAGATTTCTAGAATATAAAGGCAACATATACTTGTTGTGTGTCTAATATTGTCTAATAGGTATTGTACGTGTTGTCTAATATTAATTTATCTTATATAGATTGTAGGTCTAGTAGAAATTTACTAGAAGCAATATTTCCTTTAACCTTAATATCATCATTTTATCATCTAGGTAGCTAATTCATGTGAATAACACAGTAAAACAATTGTAATAAGATGAATAAAAGATCGCTAGTAAAAGACTGGAAGAAAGGTAAGTATCTTAATTGAAAATTAATTACTCCACTATCCAACTTCCAGAGAAAAGACGAATTTCTGTTGACTTATTTTATGACCATTACCACAAAATCTTTAGGCTGTAAATACTAATAAAATGATAATAATATTTTTTAAAACTCAAATTTATTCCTAAGTCTTTAATTTTCAAAGGAGACGAATTTAAATTAATTATCCTCCCTTTAAAAAAAAAAATTAGGCTATTATTTTATCTAATTTAAATAAAAGTTTACGCCAATAATATTGATGTGTAAAACGTTAAATGATTATCTTTGTAAATACTGATCAGATGACGAAAATTCACCTACGGTAAATATAATAATAATCAAGGCATTAAAACACAAAGAATCTGTTATTACAACACTTCAATTATTTATTTACCATAACGTAATGTTCCCTCACATATAAACCACATCACATAATAGTACCGTCCAAACACCCATTCAAGGATAATTGCCCGTACATGATTCTATTTATAAAAAGGATTTCAAGAACTAATTCGTATAATTTTTATTTACGAGTACAAATTTTATATTGAATAAAATTAATAAACCTTTTCTTATCATTTCAAATAACTAACAAGAAAATTATCTTAGTTGGCTCAAATCAATTTAAAATAGTATAGTAATAAAACTCGTAGTAATTTAACGTATTTTATGTAAGTAGTATAATGTTATAAACTAGTATTCCTATAAGTGTTATAATTAACATATTTACATAATTTATTGTATGACGTATCACGTTAACAGCTATAAAACTATTTTCTGACCGTTGATCGCTTGTTATTTTTTTACGTACAGTGCTATAAATAGATACAAATAACATTTAAAATTAGGAAGAATAAAAACCAGATTAAAATTTCTCGCTATATTTAGCATTATAAGGTCAACATTTGCGTCATAAGAACGAAGGTTCTAAGTACTGGATACGATAAAAAAAAAAGAATTACATTGCAGCCGCGCTGCAACTGGTTCCAGTGGCGATGGAGCCTTACCATTACTCGTGCAAGGATCAATGAACTTTGAGATTGCATTGATCATGTATACGAGACCTTGACGGTACGCACAGTTGACAAGTAGACATGGTGATTCTAATAGTGCATGGAATTAATATGGTATAAATAATTCATATTGATAAATACGAATACAACAAAGTAAAAAATGTATGTTAATAACCATTAATTATGATCGTCGTAATAGTCATTTACACTCTGTCTCTAGGCATTACCATCTATAAGGTCCTGAAACTAATGTTAAAGAAGATAAAACATATTTTTTTCCCTTGTAACGCAAATTATTTAGCTAAAGAAACTAACATTTGAAAAATTAAAAAATCAACTATCAAAATTCGTTTGTAAACTCAGAGCAATAAAAACATTTTGTTTCAACAAATCATAATTCAACTTGTTTCTTTTATAATGTACATACATAATTCAACTCGTTCGATTTTGGCAGTCGTGTTTTTTACTTTATTTATTTTTATTTTATTAAGGTGTCCTATAATAACCCTACACATTTATATTTGTCGCAGCCAAATGGTATAATCAGCCGAGCAATTGGGCAGCTAGCCCTTTAATAAAATAGAGCTATTTAGTTAACGGGCTGATAATTAATCAGCATAGTAGTTGAACACGTTGATCTACAATACGGCTGAACGAAAGTCAGCCAACTAATAACTGTCAATGTATAATACGAAAACTATGTTCGATAAACACTTGAGTTACGGGATTGTTATACTGATAGGTATAACAATTGGAATCGGATTTCTTATTTTGATAGAGTAATGCTAACCATTTCGATGCTATTACAAGTATTATAATAAAAGCACATATATGTCTTTACTAAAGAAGAAAGTGTAATTCACACACAAAAACAAAACATTCTTAAAATTTGAATAAAATTACCTTGATGTCCAATTTCATAGTCGTGCAACTTATCTTCGAAGATGTTTTTAAATTTTGCCTCCGCTAAATGGTTTAAGAATTCTTGTAACTCCATTATTTTATAAATAAAATGTCAACTTTTATTCTTTTACAAAACATCAACTTCTAACTAAAATTACAAACTTAAACAAACTGTTACATTTAAATAATAAACAACGATATATTCAGTATTGCCAGTGGTAGAAATTCAAATATTACGCAAGACAGCTCAAAAAGTAACATTTTCATGAAATAAGAAACTATACATTATTTCATGTAGAAAAAACAACGTACTCTGCTAATACTATAATTAGGGACTTGTTTGCCCATAACCAAAAATTAATTTTAACCCATTAGCTCAGGTTTTATTGTGAATATTATTGATTCAATAATAACTGACTTGTGAGTCTGAAAAATATTGTGTAAACGTCAAAGTAATATTTTGAGTATCGTAATCTAGAGCTAACATGAGAGGGCCAAAAGTAACATTAAATCTTACAAAAGTAACATTTTGGCAACGTTGGTTAATTATCGTTTGTCATCAAAGTGAAGCTAGCGTCACGTCGGCAAAGGAAGAAACTAATTGAACATTTTGGCGGCTTTTTAATCAGCCGTTTTGTCGAATGGTCCAATTGTCACAATTATTAACTAGAAAACTAGCCGTAGCAATTATTAAATGGCGCCATTTTATTAAAGGGCTAGCCGCCCAATGGTCGGCTGAAAAGACTCACATACATACACATTAATTCTTTAGGGTTACAAAAAGTTTGTGTTTGCACAAACTTCTTTTTTTGGGCAGTCGTGTAAAAACTAAATGTAATTTAAAAATTTGACCAGTTGCATAAGCACTTAGTAATTATAATTTTAATGTTACTTCTCTAGAAAGGAATGGCTAATGAATACTGAGTACAAAATACTCGTTTAACGTTTAACTGTTTTGTTTCACTGCGTAAATTTTTACACTATTTATAACTTATATTTTGAATGTTATTCTCTATTTTGTAATTATAAAAGTTTTTCGAAAAACAGTATCGTTGTATATAAATTGACGCAAAAGTTTTCAAAATAATCTCACCGTTAAAGTCAGCTGTTTATAATTTACTGAAGTTCTATAATTAATTAATGCTTTTCCAAAAAAAAAAAAATTAATTCGAAATGATTAAAAGGTTTGTAAAGTCTAGAATACATTCAGTTTTTATTCAATACGATGATTAACCTTACTAGTAGACTAATATTTCTACCAGAGCATGCATCTACGGAATTAAATATCGACTGTTTTTCTAGATAATAAAGAAAACATATGATTTAAGTATCAAAATCACACTTCACTAGAATTAAATAGAATATGCTATGAAATTTGATTGTAATAATATTTAAAAGTTAAAAAGTATGTGAATATATAAATAATTGCTCGATTTCCACGATGAAAAAGTTGAATGATTGTTAATAAAAATAAAAAGAACAGTGAACATTATTTTACAGTACCCAGGGGCTAATTCAGGATTTAACTTGGCAACCTCCAAAATCATTAATGATAAATGATTATTAATGATAATGTAACATTTAAACATCTTTGTCTCATCTTATGATGAGCATTACTTTTAGGCTAAAAAATGTTTTTCCCTATTTATTAATCTAAAAAGAAAGTTAACATAAAATAAAACTCATTCGCTATTAAAAACCATTTTTAGAACGTAAAAGTGTAATAACCTTGCTACGTCTATGTAGATATAACAAGGTTATTACACTTTTACGTCATATTTAGTATATATATATATATATTTGTATATTGTATATATAGTAAGAGGTTACTGAACTCACCTTGTCAGAAAACAATTTCCGGAGCTACACGTAAGCACATACTATTCATACATTACGAAGGCAATAAAAATATATTATATTTTAAATATACAAGGCATTGCGTTTGACATTAATTACGAGTATGTTTATAATTATAATTAAATATACATTCAACTTATATACCCTATATTATTTTAATCTTCCATTATCACTAAATTTGAGTGTACATTTTTGTGAAATGGCTATTATTCGACCCCGTTTACTAAGTGAGTAACATAGTAGTTATCTATTTCGACTATGAAATTAGAATTTAAAAACAATGGAGAAACTGAATACTATTAAATATATTTTCATCAGTTAGTTATTAATTACACTTAATGTGTTCAAAATCAAAATGCTTTTTATAGATTTCCGTAGGTAAAAGAATTTTAAAATCAGTCGAATAGTTTCGAAGCCTATTCGATGTAAACAAAGCAATAAACAATCAAATAGTTTATATAATACACTAACTTAATACAAAATACATTAAAATTGTTTTAAAGCGTCTCTCACGAGCCAATCATAACATCGTCCGGTATATACTGAACACCACAACGAGTACGACCAGTCTTAACTAGGGTTGCCAGC